CGAATATTTTAAAAAGGTCTGCACCATCGATGCATTGGGACTTCAATTAACATAAATGACCAATTCTAGTTACGTATTCGATTAGTTTGTACCCTCCATGCATCCTAATTTTAATAGAAAGTACACCTTGTTCTACTTATTGTCATTCCTATTGGTTATCTCAGTTGTCTAGAGGATTTCGTTGGCCAGGTATTTACGATTTGAACAGTTTGTGCTAAAATGGATTACCGTTGCAGTCATTTGCGTATTTGAAATCAGTTGGTTGTAGTAGTTAATGAAGAGCCGTATCTAAGGAATTCTTATCTATCACAAGAAAGTTAGCTGGTACTAGTTACATCCACGACTAATCAGTCCCATAACATTGGATACTAGTTAGATAATATATAGCTTGTTCGCTTATGACAGTAATACATTCGTCAATTAGTTGACTTCTACTGTTCCTACTGCTATATGCACGGTAGTACGTTTTTATCTGCACTTTTTAGTTGACGTCTGATTTCAGTTGTCGGTAATAAAGCTTACGAAATTGTGGATAGAATTACAAATGTGTATCCAGTAAATTCGACTGACAAAAATGTGGTACATTCTTGGTAACCGATTTCATTCACAACTGAGAATTTATATTGGATTCCTGATATGTTAAACAAGAACTAGTATAGCGTACTCGTCCAACTTAGTTTCCGTACGCATGTAGACACCCAGAGTTCGAGTCTGAGTAGATTATATTTAACGCTTTCGCGACAAACGCGTCGACCACTTAGAATGGGATTGTTTTCTAAATAAGAATTGCGTTCCAAACTGTGTGTAACAGGCCTGAGTGGGTTCGTATGTTGGTACACTGATTGTCCACTCCTTGAAAACACTAGTAAGCTATTGTAACAGTGAGAACAGGTAACGACACTGAGTTGTTTCCAACTACACCGAGAGTGTATGGACCAGTCGGATGGTTTGCCATTTTAGTAGACTTGATCTGAATTTCATTTAATATCTAACCTGGAGTCGACTTATCTTTCGGACTACCCACAAATTATTGCATTTATTGGACTCTTTTACTTAGCATTCGTTGGCGCAAAAATAATGCTATTATACACTTGTGGGTAACTTTCAGTGCAATTCATTTAAGCTAATGCGAAGAATAATCTGGTGAATGATATATTAACGAACTTGTGAAGAGTTACTAAGACAACGTCAGTTCGCACAAAGCAGATTAGCTGTCCTCTACGATACCACTGATGAAATAAAGATAATTTGAGCAATTAAGTTCCTAATCGCATCTGGTAGTCCATTCCTCAGTTGGACATCTTTTCGTTGCATATGTTAGTATCTGCAAATCAACGATTAGTAGCTGGGATTCATCTGGACGACTTCTGACGTTAAGTTGGTTCAAAATTGGCACTATCAACTCTCAGTCTTACTACACTGTAATAATCATAATGGAGGACCATCGGCTAAGGTTACGCCTCTCTCACAACCAAATACGTCTAGTTCAACCACGGCACCATCAGTAGATGGCATCTCAAATAGGATAGATGAATTCCATTACGATCCTGATGCTAATGTTAATTTTAAGATGTGGTTCAGGCGTTATGGAGATCTATTTATATTTGATTTCGCCAATCAAGATGATGCTTGGAAAATGCGACTGCTACTTTGTAAATTTGGGTGCAACTGAGCTGGACAAGTATTGCAATCTGATCCTGTCTTTGAACCCACGTGACCGATCATTTACAGACACAGTTCAGACATTAAGCCAACATTTTGGCGATAACTCGTCTGTTTAATACTCGTTATCGATGCTTGAAGCTAACTATGAACGAAGATGATGATTTTCTTACGCATGTGGGCGTCGTCAACCGTGAATACGAACGCTCCCGGTCAAAGTACTTGACTGAAGATCGGTTTAAAGCCCTGATCCTCATTTGCAGCCTGTAGCACCAAAAGTTCAGTGACTTACGAACAAGGCTACTAAGTCGGTTGGATCAAGAGCCGGAACTCATCCTGAGTGATATAGCTAATGAATATCAACATCTCACTAATCTGCAACGAGACACTTCTATGGTCCAGAGTGGTGGGTCTAGCCGATCTGAAGTACGAGCGGTGCAACAGATGCCCTACAAAAGCAAACACGTCCCTGCTTCATCCAGTCCATCCCACTCCAGCTCGGGACGACAAACTAAAGCGAATCCCCCTACTCCTTGCTGGCAATGTGGTGCACGGGACTACGTTCGAAACTGCCCATTTAAGCAAAATGGATGCAAGAAGTGTAAGGTTATCGGTCATAAGGATGGGTTTTGTCTGAGAAAAAAGAATCCAAGTCAATCCAGAAATACCAAAGAGACCCTTCCTACATCTCGCACCAATTCTTTGAGCTTAGTATCTTCGTGTCAAAGCTCATCACCAGGTGAGAGGAAATTTGTTACTGTTAATATTAATGAGTATTCATCTAGATTGCAGATAGATACTGCTTCAGATGTCACTATTCTCTCACGTAAGATTTGGACCAGAATGGGCAGCCCAAACTTGCAGCGTACAATGCAAAAGCCTCGTACTGCGTGTGGTAATTACCTTTACCTGCTAGGACAAATGGAATGTACAGTTACTTTCTGTGGTTCGGCGTTTGTTGAGGAATGTTACATAACGCCAGCTGATCTAAATTTACTCGGTTTAGATTGGTTCGATCAGTTAAAATTAGCTGATGTTCCGTTGAAAACCATATGCAACATGGTATCACAACCCCAACTACGACAACAACCACATGGCTTGGGAGCATTACGAGGAAATTAATGACGCAGTTTTCAACCATTTTCCAACCTGAATCGGGTCGGTGCTCTGCTATTAAAGCAACCCCTCGATTGAAAACTGGGGCTAAGCCTGCTTTTCGTCCAAAGAGACCTGTGCCTTATGCAACATTACAAACAATAGATGAAGAATTGAATCGCCTTCAACAACAGGGAGTTATTACTCCCGTTTCCTACTCTGTATGGGCAGCACCCATAGTTGTTATCAAGAAGGCTAGCGGCACGACACGTACATGTGCTGACTTCTCAACAGGCCTCAATGCAGTTCTGGAACAACATCATTATCCCCTGCCTGTTCCCGCAGACCTATTTACCATGCTGAATGGGGGAAGGTTTTTCGCTAAACTGGATCTAGCTGATGCTTATTTACAAGTGGAAGTAGATGAAGCATCGAGAGAGCTGCTAACTATCAATACCCATCGTGGTTTGTTCCAGTATAACCGTCTACCTTTCAGGGTCAAAACTGCCCCATCTATTTTCCAGGTATCTCGGGAGTCGCGGCTTAGGTGGATGACATTTTAATTGTAGCGATGACATTAGAACAGCTACGAGAACGCACGACATTGGTATTGCAACGCATCAGTGACAACGGGTTCCGGTTACGCTCAGAGAAATGCCAGTTTTATTTGCAGTCGGGTTCGTTTTCGATGCCGACGGCCGCAGACCGGATCCTGAGAATGTCCAACCTATCAAACTGATGCCCACCCCCACTAATGTCCCAAAACTCACATTTTGTAATCTTATCTTTGCGGAGCTTGTGTGTAGGTGTATGCTTGATGAACCTGGTATCTTCTGGTTGTCTGTAGAATACACTTTCTACATCTTATCAAGACTTCTGGATTAGCGATCCATTGGGGTTTCACCGCGTGGGTTCAAATCATATCCACGTCGCCAAATTGTTATGTTCGTTAAGCTTGAATGCTACTGCTGATTCGTCTTACTCGGAACGGAACGAAGAATCAAGGATTCAGAGACTCGATAGGCTATACTGGTCCGTTGTCTCCGACTCAGCTAACTCGATCCAGAAGTCTTGGTAAGATGTAGAAAGTGTATTCTACATACAACCCGAAGATATCAGGTTCATCAAACACACAAATCAGGCGTATTTATACAATATATATATATATATATATATATATATATATATATATATATATATATATATATATATATATATATATATATATATATATATAATCGACATCGCCATGGAAGTTTTTAAACATTTAATCGATAAGTTTGTCAATCGACTATGTGCGTGGGTGGTAAGAAATGCCCAAGCATACATCTGCATACAAGCTCCACAAAGATCAGATTACAAAATATGAGTTTTGGGGATCTAACGTCCCCAACACTCCCATTCATAGACCGTAATGTAAGATAGACTAAACAATCAATATCCTCAGGAAGTCTGTGCAAACACTTGGGGTTCCTGAATTCCTTAGGAAACTAATTTCTGTGTGCTTACGACACGAATATCTACTATTGACTACTCTTCTGTTATTCATTCCCTTCCCAACGCATTTGGAGGTTTCCGGATCCAAAAGGCTATCAAGATAGACGCTATTCAAAACTGACATCTCAGGCCATGAATATTTGCTGTGTTCCTACTACATATACAGTATTCTAAATGTAACTGTTCACTTAACTAGGGTGATTCAGGATGTTTTCTGTAGTTCTGCCAATTTCTAACTGTGAGGGGTTAAGACATAGTAGTAATCACCAGTTATGTATACGATTTTACAGATAAAATATCGTGGATGTCTAGTATTACCTAACTTATCAGTAATTCGTAAACAGCTCTGATTTGCGGCCGGTAAAAGTAAGATGTGATTAACCACTGGGCGTGGAAAGACTAGATCATTTACTGTCAAACATGTAATTTCCTTTCTATCATTGATGTCTGCCCCAAACTTTAAATGCATACCGCTTGTAGTCGTGTTGCATAAGGTACTGTCCATACCCCGGTTCTCTATATTGGGTCACAAACCGTGTATCTGGTATAATCGCTAACCCAGTCTACGTAGCGCAGCAATAGAGTATCCAGTGTAGTAGTAATATATTCTCAGCTACCTGTATGATTTAGCAAACAGAAATATTTTCATTCTGTCGTCGTATCAGGCTTATGAACATTATACTCAACTTGAAGCCTGAAGACATAATAACCCTTTTTTCAAAAAGCACTGAACAAAAACCTGGAGATACTAAACATGAATCTCTCACCTGTAAGCTTTATTTCAAAAATAAACATCAACACGTCATTTTAAAATAAGGAGTGAGGCAGTTGATTGTTCTGGCTGGCTTATGCGTTCTGTATACTGATATATTGGATATGAGGGACTTTCGCCAATATACAAACAGTCGTTGGGAAACGAGTATATTCACCCAATGTTACTGAACTAGGCATATGAATAATCCATTAAAATACTAACGTTTGGTCTGTGTTTATGTGAAACAGTACAGGTTTCCTGAGTAGAATTCTCAAAGTGATGGAAGCAAACGACCGAAGACCCTAAGGGGGATTGGTCAGAGTCGGAATGATAGGTGCACTCACTTTTCACCCTTCTATAAATAGTGAACGTTTTATTTGTCCGAAACGATTTTTTCACACGTTCCTTATTTCCATGCTATTACGTCTATATTCACTTTTCAATTGTATGCTGTCGAGATGTGCGTCAATCTCAGCCAATGTGTTTTGTATTTATCCAACTAAATACTATGTAGCAGATTGTTCAAGGTTTTTGCTATTAAAAATATTCAAAGCAGTCACAATAGGTGTAATCAACTTGTAACAATACTGTCTGTCCTTTCCTCACGGGTTTTATTAATTTCCAGATCGATGGAAGAAATAGGCGACTGCTATACAAATGGTACACAAGTAAAATATCTGTAGAAAACCACAAATGACAATAAGTAGCGAAACTTTTTATTAGAATGAACAGACTGTTCAACAATATATTAGATTAAAAATATTCGCATGATCACAACCACTCCCCTCAGACATGAAACAAACTGTAGCAAGAGAAGTGTATGATAATTATTAATATGTATTGTTCCACAAAGAGTAAACAAAAACACAAAACCGAATAATAAACGAAATTAAGTCATGGAATTTAGCAAAGCAGAAATATCACATTTTTAGTGAATGCAGTACAATCACTACAAAAGATACTTATTAAAAAAGGTATTCATAGTATATGTACACTAATGATGTAAAGCAGAACGATAACTAGTCAAAACAAAGCAAGTCTGTAACAGCCTCCTGTTTATTCGATTTACTGTCACCTGTATGAGGACCCCAAGTAGATAAAGAGTTCCAGTTGTTCATATCTAACACCTCATCATCACCCTCATTTTCAGAATATCGGCTTTTGGAATTTATTCCTGCCAGGTCTATTAATTTGACATCGTCAGTTAACTGGTTATACTTGCTACTGACAGATTTTTCTCCAACTGACTCAGTGTTGATTACATCCTCATCAATATCTTCACCGCCTTCATCTTCGCCTGTATTAAAAATCCCTAGGTTGTACGCAAATGCATCTCTTGCCAGATCCACTTCAAGTGGAAAAATTTTTATTTGCTTCATGACACCATAACATTGATCATGGTAGGTGGCCATAGCATCGATGAAACGTTGTAACTCAAACACGATATCTTGTACTGGTGAAGCGGAAAAGAACAAAAACCGACGGAGGTTAGTTCAAAACAAATATGAAAAATATAATCCCATTTTACATACCTAATCATATAAGAAATCTGTGGCAAACTATGAATACTATAGTTCTAAGGATCCAAAGACATTGTACAAAAAAGTCATTGTAGTCCGAAAAATTGATAACTAGTTTGTTTGGTATGTTATTTAGAATGCACATGTTGACAAAATATTCAGCTTAAAAGCTTCTTATATCTAACAAAGTTTAATTTTATGGTATCAAGAAATACGTTAATAGTATGTCTAAATTCGTAGACACTTAGGAACCTGGTTACTACACGTAAAACATTGTATTCAGTTCCAGATCCAATTTATAACATATACACAATAGTTGGTTCATGTCATGATTTGGGTTCTGAATCATATGTTAAGCAGTGTCTAATTTCGCATTTGGGTCTTCAGAGTACTAATAAGATTCTTTATTACATCGGGAGTGTTGTTCGCTCAGACATCAAATCACGATATGAGAATGACGTCGTCTACTATCACTTGTCAACCAGCTGTTGAAAGTAGGGATATCTCCGTCGAAAACAAAATGGATTCCAACATACGGCAAATATCTAGCCATGGTAGAACCAGTATATCAGTCAGTCATCTAAAACATGGGACCGGCACATATATGCGTTGGTCCAAATCAACATACCTCATAAGAGCAGTATAAACCAGTTCATACAAAACTGATTAAAAACAGTGCGATTTTCGACTACCGAAATCTTGACGATCGTTATAATATAAAGGAAAAATTTCATAGCGTCAATAAAGTTGTATTAGACTACCGTCAAACGGAAATTCATGAATACCGCATTTAGTAACTAAGTGAGAATATTAACTAGAACTGGAAAGTTACGTAAATTATTTTGCCATACTAGTCACAATAGGAAGAAACTAGTACTTTATAACACTAAAACAGATTATTGTTGTAATTACATAGATCAACTAACTGATTACTTATAAACCACGGGGAAAATTATAGTGCAACATGTTACAACTTTATTTACAAGACTATTAATATTATTATTAGTCACTTTATTCAATATTATATATTTAGCATAACATAGAAGCACCTTTCCTGACCAAATAATTGCCGAAAAAACCGTCAAAAATTAATCCCAGAGACTGTCATAATACAATAACAGTTTTGTAAGATATGCGATGCCAATAGAAGTCCGATAAAACAGTTAATATCATTGTCTGTGATTGGTATGGGTTAAGTAATTAAAGACTAAATACGACGATACATGTTTGAAAGCGGTAGGTGATTTTTTGAACTATAATAGCTGTAGTGTAGTGTGACTCAACTGCCAAGTACGAGTTAATATACTTCGGGATTCGAATCAAAGTACTTAGGCATGCACTGTAAAGATTACTCGGTTATCTAAACTGAACGTGGAGCGCGGTTCAGACCTGCTACATAACAATTGAGAGGCAAGTGGTTTAGCAACTAAGCAATTTCTCTATCTTTCACTGAGTTTTAATTACGGTTCTATGCAGTGAAGTGTAAAACTGTAGTGGACGAACACTGGAGTCCGAAAGACCAATTTATTATTCATGCACAATCACATAGTGGTTTAGTAAGATATGAAAATCATACAGCAAATACATCATTTTCGCATCTCTTAGTTGTCCTTTACATCCTTCATGATTCTCCCAATCCCTTGGTTTCCTTCTCTCTCCTCTTCATTTCAATCTTCTTTTGACAAACATTCCACTTCTAATTTGTATTACATACTACTTATATCGACAAACATAAATAGCATATGCCACACTCGTTCCCACTTTAAACGGTCGATCTTGCGGTTGTTCTACTCTCCATGTCACTTCCTTTGCCGCGCTTCCCATCAAGATGTAGAATTCGCCGGCGCACTGACCTCCATAGCAATATCGGCCTTCCGAGCCATCTAGATACGACGTCCTCCCAGCGACTTCTACAGCCAACACCGCCCCGTCGGAACACTCCGCTTGACGTTACATTCCTGAACCGGACAGCCCCAAGTAGCGCCTCCTCTCTCAACCCGGTAACGGCGTACACAGAACTTCACTTCTCTTTTTGCAGCGACACCAAATGTAGTGAACAAAAACTTGGTGGGGAAGAGGAATTTAATAGTCAATACAAAATTACAGAATGCCTTCGTAAAATACGAAAACCATACATTAAATACTTCATTTACACATCTTCCATCAGTTGTCTCTTACAAAATTCATCGTTCCTTCATTTCTGTTGTTATTACAATTGCTCTCTGTTTACATTTCTATGCTCTTCAATTCGATCTGTTGAACCTTTGGCTACCAGGCATTCCACTTCTGATGAGTGTTACATGCTACTTATGTCGGTAAACATAAGTAGTAAGTAAAACATATATATACCTTTGAACTAGATAACCGTTTAAATAGGCTTGATTAGGACTCTACCGTTTATACAGCAATGTGGAATGATTATTCACCTACAAATGTTAACTCAACTACTTAGGAACCATGCTACTTGAATTATAGTTTAAGTGTCTCCATATTAAAAATAAGTCTATCCACACTTTGTTAATGAGTGCAGAAAATGGTATACACGCCAAATAATTATTCCACTGTTACTAAAATTTAATCCAATAAATTACCAGAGGTCGAACGTGATTAAAAAAGGAAAATAAATACACTGTTTACCATGTTTATTATCCAATAATTCTAGTTTTACTAAAACATCATTGCGCATCTTAGCAAACCGTGTACGTGCATCCTGTCGACATCTTAAAACAAGTCTATATTCATAATTTCCAGTTTCTACACGATATAGTGGTTCTTGAACCATAGCAAAACCATACTCTTCATCGTCCATTTCCTTTACTTTAAGACAATAAGACTAGCGAAACAAAAGGAGATGAAATAAAAAATAACAACGATGTGTCAGTCAATCACGAAAAATATACACAATAAAAACCTATTGATCATCCAAGAGTAATATGATGGGCTTTGTTGAGATTCTCATGATACCGAATTTTAGCTAGTTTTTCTACCTCTGACAAATATATCCTTTTTTACAAACGAGACGCCGTATTTTAAAGTGGATTATTTGGAGATACATACAACTAGAATATTAAGTAAAGTTGTAATACATTAAGTCTACAGAAATGTCTTATTAGAAGTAAACTGAAAGTTATACCAATTTTCGTTTTAAACTAATTTGACAAGTACATATTTGTGTTGTCGGTTACCTGGGAGCACTACTGAGGCAACCCGAATGCGGAAATCATAGTAGATGGAAAAGGGTACAATATAGAACCCAGTGGTTGAAAGTCAAGTATTTTAACAACTACACCAATACTCCAATTCAATTATATTTTATTTCAGCAATTTTTTACTACAGAAAAATATGTAGTCAATATGTCCAGAGGTTATCTTAATCCAGTTTCTGACTGCTTAAAAAGGTCTACCTTTGATTTAATACACAATGGAAGTTAAACCCTTACCTTAGGTTTTACAACAGAGACGTCACAATTCTATTAACTGAACAACACTATGATTTTTAATATCACTTGGTACAAACGATATCATCACATATCATCTGTGTGTGTCTGCCTTTACTTCCAAGCGGACTAACTAAATAAATCAAGGCTTTCTATTAGAGCTTGTAGACATTAAGCTCAAAACTATTCATCAGTAGGTAGTGAACTGTTATGCAACTTTGTAGTTGGCTAGCTTCAACAACCGTTGTGACATGGATTAACATAATGAGTGAAAATTCTGAGTGGAGGTTATACCTTGTAACAATGGTGACAATGTAGTAACAAGCTGAAGCCAAGATCGACTTTTAGTATTATCTCAGTCATGTGACCATTGAATTAAGATCGCCTTGTCAGCTGCTCCATATGCTTATTCAGTTGTGAGAAAAAAAATTAAACCATACGAGAAGAGCAATCACAACTACTCCAACTTAAAGTGTAAATTAAGTTGTTCAAGGATATTTTGAGAGCAGACAGTGTATGAGAAATATCATTAGATAATATTACACCTGACAGGACAATATATCTATTCAAGATACTAAAGAACATAAAAAACATACTCCACAATTCCTTTGAACTATAATAAATACAGATATTGACAACATAGGTCATACCGGAGAATTTTCGTAACAGAGTAGATTGTTGAAATCAACGAGGCTTTTAATTATAATTAGGTTTGTTCAGCTGTGTAGTTACAGAACGGTTGAACAAACTAATCCATTGTTATTGGTTTTGGTTCACATGTTTGTCAGTTGACTTCAATTTCTTGTGTGTAAAAGTAAGACAAATAATGTATTTAGATAACCGATACTTGTACCGAATTCAAGACAGAAATCAATCAATGGTATTCAGTAAATTTAAGTAGAAAATTCACACTATCCTACGTTCAACAACGAAAACAAATTTAAACCCAAATTGATTGTCAAATACTTAGTTTAAAACAGGACAGAACGAGCTGAAGTAAGAAAAATTAGTAACGCTTCGCATACCAAATATTCAAATTTGACATCTAAATATTTTTTGATTGTTAACTTTGTATCAGGAACCGCTTTATGTAGAAATGTGTTTAAGTCCATGATCATCTATGTGGAATAACAAAAAGTGAAAACATTTTACTACAGAAATGAGGGGAAAAATTATTACAAATTCTAACGTGTTATGAAATGTGCAAGATGGCTTTTAAATACGAATAATATGCAGAAATTTTGAAACACTGTGGAATAATGTTACTCTTAGGTCTGATAATACTCCCCTTATTTGCAGAGTTGTTAGCTATAAATCTACAGTCTTAACATACAACAATTCATTTATTGATTCAAGTATTATCAGAAATATTTGAATTACGTAAGCAGGACGGTTAGCAAGTTAGAGTTGATATACCTTCTATAAAAGTGAACGAAGTAACTTGATTGTAAGTAGATTTAATCTCCATTTGGTTTGTGAAACAGTTAAATTAATTATGAAAAAAACTATAAATTATTGCAGTATGGCGATTTTATAGATTTGATGTGAACTCCGTCTTCAGCCCCCTTAGGGGTTACTTCAAGTTCCAAGCCCCGATAAAATAGGCCGGACCGGGAGGTTAACAAACCACACCACGTAAAAAGAGTAATCAGAGAAACTATGCCCTGGAAGACGAAGGTTTTTATGAAGACAAGTTATGAAAACTTATGGCTGAAATTATGCTTCTTCCGACAAATATACAAATAATTATAGCACCCCTACTTGATTTATTCTAGCCTTTAGGTAAATGAATTACTCTAATCTATTCAATCATCCTGATATTTATATATGCAACTCTAAGTATGTGTATGTGAAAGTTCCAGGATGATCAAAGCATTCTTTAAAAAAAAGACGAAAAAATAACAATGGTCATCTAATGCAATGCTCTCATCAATGACGGGAGTGATGAAAAAAGCTGGTTTTATGTAGAAAAAAAAGGTTCATCGCAGAAAATGAGTGTGAAAACACCTTATGGTGGACCTAAACGCCAAAGTCGGGATGAATAACATAAAGTACAATTACAACATGAAGTGGTATGAACAAAGACAAATAATAGGAGTGGTGGGAGACTGGTAGATCTGGGTGACAAGTATAAAACCAATATTTAACGTCAGGCTGAAAATAAACAATGTCACATAGAATGAAGTCGTACGTTGAGAATAAAAACAATATCAAAATGTTACACTGGGAATAAGACTGATGTCATAAAACCTTACATCAATTAAGAGGAGTGAACTCGCCTTCTTATCTCGACATATCAGAACTAAGGAAGCAATAGCTTTAATATGTTAGGAGGTGCTCAGTCCCAATAAGCATCAAAATAAAGAATAGATCTTTGTACACCGCCTGGATAGATTTAACAAAGGAAAAAACAAGACGGCATCAGTCAACAAAAGCAACGAAAGTCAAGGCACTGACTGAATATTGAGGAGCAAACAAATGAGCTGATAAGCGGAAATATGTAGACGACCTGACAACAAGGAAATATGGAAGAACCATATGATTCCCCAAAAAAGCTTACAGGGAAATATAGTAGATCAATCAGCGAGACCCGTAAGGAACAAAGATAAATCAATCATTTAGGATCAACAGCAGCAGGACAGGTGAACAGAACATTTTTAAGAGCTCTTGAATAGACCGGCACCACTGAACCTACCGGACATCAAAACAGAACACACACCTTCCCATAGATGACACTTCGTAAACAATAGAAGAAACAACCAAGGCCATCGGATAAATAAAAAATGACAAACAGCAGAACCAGGAAGCATACCACGTGGGGCACTAAAGTAAGATATAGAGGTGCCTGCAAATATTAGAGTCCGTCTTCATATCTGAAGCTACTTATGCGTTATGCAATTGTAATCACTGTGGTTTGGAATAATGAAGGTTAGTCAGTTTAGATGAAGTCACATTAAACTCCCAAACGATGGTTTCCCGTTTTTACATTCAGTTAGCGAGTGTATATGCAATAGTTGACAGCAATCAACTTCCGACCCCAATGAATATACAAATATCTATGAAATAAATCCCATAGTTCTTTTATTATATGGGTAAGTTTTAGTGACACTGAATACATTATGCTTTTGAATGAGTATCTTGAATGTCCACCGTATATCATTAGCTGATAGTGCTGAAGTTTTAACTAGTGAAGGCTGTTCATTATGAGAGCTGAAGACAGTAACATATGATTTGTTTTTTACAGCGAACTGAGTATATTATTCAGTAAATCTGAATCGTCGGGATTTGTAAGAATCTAGAAGCCGGAAATTTTCAATATAGATTATGAAAATCTGACACAGAAATAAGACACAGTAGGAAAAGAAATGAATAAGGTAAGTGGTCCGTTGGAATAAGAGGATTTTTAAATTCAGATATAGGATATATTGCGACTCATATAGCTACTAACTCATATACTAAAGCAAAAGTAGACTACGAAGAGGCAACGGCATGTAGCTTTATCTTTGTGAGTCATATCTCATTTAACTTCACAAAGTACAACAGACTATGAGTTGTAATTAACCCCGAGAATGTCTGTTTCGATTTGGAACTCAATATTATATCTAGGCCAACAAGAACGTGGGATGTAGTCGCCGAATCACCAGACACGCAAAAAATGAATCGTGCTGATTCTCCAAATTGGGTAGGTGAAGAAGCTAAATGACCACACTTATGGTACACATGTAGATTTCGCAGATACGGGATATATCGGTAGCATTGGATTCTAGAACCTTTGCTGTTGAAGCCTATTGCATGATTTAATACAAGGTTCGAACATTGAAATGTTCGTAATGTGTGAGCGAGAATGATAATGATTGGTTGTCTGCTTAGTCAGACATGTAGATAGTTTGATGAGTTATATATTCCCCTATCCTTATTATTATTATCACTTATTATTGATTGTTCATTGTTGTTGGATTGTGTCGGGTTTTGGTGTGGAAATATATTCATGTTGTGGTCAGGCTAATTACGTGCTCTTGATCTGAGTTGAGTTGAAGTCCTGTAGAATAGACACTGGGAGGGAATCTAGTGTAGATATTCGTCTAAGGTAAATTAACGTCCCATAGGTGTAAGCGTGAAAACTCAACCGTTATAACATTAGGCGAAGTAAAACCGAGCGTTATAACAGTTCGGTATGTAATTTGGAGCATGGTTTAACGATACAAAATATAATATTTCAAAAGCTCGAATGGTTAGCACTAATTACGTACGCGTAAGCGAAGAAATCCAGAGAAGTTGATGATGGGAAAAGAAACATTAGGAAGCGAATGAGTTTTGGTGAAGCTAAGTTCTTTGAGATTAAGGGTTGAATCGTTTCTAGACATCACACGTGAGCTGTCAGAATTTCTTCGCATACGGCTAATAGCTTTGTTGTCATTAAATTTAAATGACTATTTTCAACATGTCCCCCGTCATTGTCTGGGTATTTATTTTGATTGTCTTCCTCATTGACTCCTGCAATGAATTAGTCTGAGAACACTACTGATAAGTTAGAAATAAGAATAGAAAAAGGTGGCTTGTTGGTCAGATAATTTCAATTCAGATATCCAGAATTTTTTATAAGAATGTTGCTCAGTAGCATCGAATCTGCAAAATTGGGCATTATTAATTAATAGGAAACTTCAAGCTTTAATGAAAAAGTATTTCTTATCAAATTAGATGACATACTGGCTTAATCTTTTTCAACATTTCAATGGAAAAACGCTCCATACTTCGATGAATCGTACCAAATTGAGTAAATGCTTCGCTTGTGCATGTCATGGGCTCTTTAACGCCAATTTCTGAAAATGTGTCTCCCAATACTTAACAAGTAAAATAAAATACCAGTTGAATAAACACATAATGAGTATTTTAAGCAAGCAGCATTGATAATATGCTAGAATAAATTTACAATCATATGAAGATTTACCAATGAAATTGTTATGTTTTGGAATACTGAACAACGCTACAAATACAGAAATATTCTCTCCATTCCGACCAGGGAATCAAATCAGTAAAGAAACCCAAAACGACTTATTTCCCCAAATGGGGAAATCTATGAAATCGAACGCATATATGAAATACAACAATTATAAAACATACCTACATACTGAAGCAATACTAAGTCACATCTTAAGTCCAAACGAAGGCGAGTGCTGAAAGCTGTGAAGATTGATATGTCTTCCTTAGTTACCTTCACATTTTAAGCAAACTACTACATTCATTGATATACTCAGGAAGAGAGTACATGTACAGGTTTCTCTGAATATGTCAAAAGAATTTAATACTTAGGTGTAAATTAAATACCACATTTATTAATTTTACATCTTATTACAAAATGAAGCAATATTACTAGTGGATTTAGCATAAGAAAGTTTCCTATCTTACAACTATTTCAGAAAGGTTTCGAAAATAACTTGTACAGAAACTTCAAAACATGTGATGACCTTAATATTGACTTTGAGTAATGGGAATATATGAATAGTTTCCACAGCTCAATGATACAACCAATCTGCTACATTTTAAAAAACTGGGTGACTATAACGACTGAGGAGATAAGAATTAGGTACTACTTATAGAGAGAATTCTCCTGAGGTTATAAGTTAATGATAATAATAGTCAACAACCACATACAGACTCATGTACTAAACCACAGACTACGACTAATATTTGTGACATGAAGACTAAATAAAAACAATATTAATATAACTCATTTAACAAGTACAGTTGCATGTACTCGACTTTGAGCCAGACAGCTATCCAAACGTTTGTACTGATTAGAGCTTCTCTTGCTCGTCGAAAATATTATCCCGCCAATCTTAATTGTGTCTCATATACTAACTCTGTAGCACAACTTAAATCTCGCCTAATGGTAGAAATACTAAGCACAGTTGTGGGCAATTTATCACTATTATGTACTGCTATTAAGTATGCTTTCAATCGTTGGTAGGATCGCTAGACCATTTCATTCGTGATTGAATGATAAGTTGTAGCCCTAACTCTTTTAATACTCAAGAACGCGCCCATCTATAGTGATTAGTGCTTGTACTTTGAAATTCACTAGTCAACGCTTAGAGAAATTTTTGGCAATGTTGCTGCCGTCATATCTTCCAATGGTATCTTGTAAATCCATTATTACACGTTAAAATATATGTATATCCGTTTGGTGGTGGCAACGGTCCAACGGTTCCTACGTGGAAATAGTTGAATCTACTATCCGGTTCAGTGGGTGCTTCAGTAGAAGTAGTTGCTAATGCACTTTAAATCTTTGGCTTACTAAACAGGCATGGCCCAAATGTTGGATATCATCGTTCATTTCTGTCCACACGTACCTTTCATTAATTAATTTAGTCGTAAGTCGATTGCTAGAAAATTCGGTGTGATTTGTCGAATATTGGCTTTCTCAGTAATGGCGATAAGAAGAATCTCGACTAGTTTGTGAACGTATCATGGATTACGCTTAGGGCGTCAGCGAAGGGGCAAGGCTTATAATTCCAAAGTATTTCGACTTATTACCAATCCCTTCACATCTTTATCTACATCCATTGTCTGAGATAATCGTACAATATAGACGTAATCGGTCTGAAACGTATCAATGACAAGTTGGCACAATGAGTCTGCAACTGTGCTGATTTTATCACTAATGTGCCATATGTTGGACGTAGACCGGGAAATAAATTCTAAGTGTCTTATGTCCCTCTATGAATAGGTATATTGTTTGGTGTCTAAGACTTTCATAAGAGGTTTATAGTGTTTACAAACAGTGAAAACAATGCCTGCCATCATCTGCCAACATACTTAACAATAAAATATTTTCGACTTAAACGTAATTTTCACCCTGCATTTTAATTTCATACAATTCTTATGTATCCACTAAGAAACCTGACATTTCAATTTTTGGACTAAATATATGTCCTTGTTTCTTTCTAGTATTTCACTTGGATTCGGTAACATGGATTTCTTTATGGACCTACACAAAGTATATATTTTTGACATAATTATGCCAATATACTGACATTTTATTATCTCATGAATCCCCATTTTGATGACCGTTGATTCTGCACAAAACGTTGAAATTTTTATCACTCAATTTTCATTTTCTGGATAGTATATACCGATGGTAATTGTCGTAATAACGGTAATATGGCCGATTGTTAAGTGGAGAATATAATAAGTACACCGCAGCTTGCTTTCACAGAAGAAGTGAGATTCACACACATGATTTAGTGATAGGGAATTGGGTTTTCATACTATTGAGGCAGATGAAGGTCTGTTACCCCGAAACTGTTCAACAACTTACACTAGTAGTTATTTAACTTACCTGCTTGATAGGAATGGGACTAAATTGTAAACTGTCAGCTAAATTACCATTTCTCACTCTATTTAGATAAACAGGTATTGAGGTTCTGTTTACACCGCATAATCACTAATATACTATCGTTTTTATAGGTTCCAAAAACCAATCGAGCGTCATTTGTTGAGTCATCACTTGACAATTTCTTGGGTCCCTTCAAAAACCTCAACAATCGTTACTGAACTATAGAAACAGAATGGGAATTCAGGCAATAAGTAAGACATTTTTTGAAGGTACTACTACTAGTAGCTATAGCAATACCTTATTACCGTCAAACAAGAACTTTGGTTAACATTAAAACTGACATTGTGTCACTTAATCAAAATCTCAATATCAAATGTAGTACGTACACAAAACCGTCACATCAAGATAGCAAATAGTGGCTGAGTATAAACCGTAGTATGTCAGTCATAAGTAATGTAGAACCTGGCGCACTTGTGTATACAGTGATATATTTCAAGGTGTGATCATACTGTAGGATGTTGAGTCCTCGGAGCAAGTACCCAACATTGCGTAAAATGTATACACCTTGTTAATTTATGCACATTAACCCAATTACAGTTCCTCAATACGCTCTATGGAGTACTAGATACGCAAAAATAAACCAATAACCAAATAGAGCTAAGTGAACCTCGGTATGACTGTCATGAAAGAAAACATTTATTAAAACATCTTACCAGCATAGATACGAGAAAGTTCATAGATTGCACGTAACAACTTTTTTGCATGATTTACCATACCCGAAAACACATTTGATGTTTTATTGAGTTCTTCCAACTTTTTAACCATACCGTCTACAAATTATGATTTTCCTGATATAAAAAAAGTTATCTAACAAACCATTTACAAGAATAGCTCGGCTTAGACCTAAAGCATCGGCTGTACTAGATTCCATCGTTTCAACAATACGATGTTTCACCTTTTTTAATACTGTGATAGGATGGTTATGATAATCTAAGTAAAGAAAGTAACAATTACTTAAGTCTAGCGTTTTTCCTTGTTTTGGGTCTGCATGAAGTTTGTTATAGTTAATTCTTACTTCATCCTACAATAAACAGAGAATGAAAATGTCTGTAAATTTAGGAAAGTACATATTGTTATAACAATTTGTCAGGAATTTAGAGTATGGAATCGCAATAAGACACATTTGTTTATGGGATAAGAAAAAAGCTTTATAATATAGATAACTTCCTTTTTCCTTGAGCAAGCTATACAATGCCAAACAACTAGGACAATGTAGAGGGTAAAATAATACAAACTGAAACCACCAAACTTCGAAACTCAGTAAAGACAAAGTAACGACAGCAAGGTTATGTGAAATAGAGGCAGATACATCACTGTCTGCACATTTTACATCAAGAAAAAGGCCAGACATATTTATATTTTCATCTGTGGCCTAGCAGTCCAAACGGTTGGCCTTTAACCACTTGAAGTGCAACCCCCACTTAGTGAGGTTAAGGAAACCAAGTAGTGTAATCAGCTGTTACACAATACATGTTGGTAGGTGACTAACTGAAATCTTTTCAACTTAGTTCTTTAGATGAGTTTACTTTGTGTCGACTAGTGTTGCGAACCAATAATTTGTTATTTCAATATAGCATAGGCTATGAAATTTAGACAATTAATTAATAGCCTAATATACTGCTATCGGTCTAAAATCTGCTGTAGTTAACATCGTGAGTCAAAGATGATCGGTGGTTTATATTATACATCAATAGTTCCGTCAATTGATCCAAGTTAATCTGGTGAATACATTCTACTTCGTGGTTGCACAATAGGTTATATTTTCCTTAAATATACTACCTTTGGGTAGAAAACTCGGAACTATTTAGGCATATGATGAGAAAAGAACTAAAATCCTACACTGAAAACTTTCCGCCCTACAAATATAAGTGGCTTGGAATCATTACCCTCACCATCATTGCTTAATGGTCAGTAACTTCATTCTCCCTCTTTTTATGGTGTTACGTTGTTTATGGTAATTTCCAGATTAAATCTTATGTCCTACACGAGACCCTATGCTTCATATCCTGATGGAAATCACTGTGTTACAAGTATATCATACGGGTACAATTTATGCACACTTAGTTAGATACCGACCCAATACTGTAAATTGCTTCACTGTAAATTATGAGTTTTAAGACGAAGTATAAGCATTTAGGAAGGCATAATGGCAGACACTTCATTTAACTGGGAGGAAAGGTATGGGAATATAAAAGTTATAAGGCAATGGGTAACGAGATGAATTTAATAGCACTTCATCAAAACCCACATGAAAGAAGTTAACTGATAAGGGATAAAGGAGATGGGAGTCATATTAATTTAGTTTTGATGGCGTTTTGTTTTATCCAAACTGGGCGATGGTTTACAATCAATGCAAGAACTGCAAAACCACTAGTAGATAGGTAGTGAGTTGTGAGACTCACAAGACAACTTATTGAGATCGAAATGTTTGTCTCTTGTGGTTGACTATAATCGATGGGTGTTAACTAATACGAGGTCTCTAAATACCCTGGTAAGACCGAGAATGGTTAGAGTCAGCTCTCTCTCGAAATGCTATCACATGGCCACGTGCATACAACCACTGCTAGGGAAGTCCTATTCACTGCCTTCTCGTGGCGGGGGTGTTATTTACGAAGCTGAGAGGACCAAAAGCGAATGCCCGGTGGACACGTAGAGTCCACCTAGGCGAATCGGAAAACCCTGATTCCAAACCAATCTTGCACATGGGCTCCAGTATGCTGAAGGAACAAATGGAGTATGAACCAATCGTTAGTTACCGGCTACCATGGGACTGCATACCCAGACGTTGCTTCACTGCCTCGTGGATTAAACTTTCAGGTCAAAGGCTCTGGGTGTGGCCCCATAAGAAAACCACCTACTCCGGTTTCGGCACCCGCGCAGTATCCCAGCCCTCACACAAATCGAGCGATTCATGTGGCGCATACTTATTTGGTGACTTCTTGTACCAATGTTCATGTTTGAATAAATAAATAAAATAAAATAAATAAAGGAGTTTTGCTTAAGGTTTCAGATTGACACGTTTCAAAAATTCGAAACTGTATAAAGTAATTTTGGTTCTCCTAGACTACTAATTATATTGCATAAAGGTCGGTTTTAGAAAAGTGGGACCCACAGCATGTAAAACAGAAATACTTTATTTGAAAACTGGTTTAATTGGGAATTCAGTTAGTCAGCTACAACGTAAGACCAGGTAGATATATGCATCGGTCCAAGTTGCCATATCTCATTAACACAACAAGATGGACATCGGATTCATATAAGTAGTTAATTCAGAGGTGGTAATATATAAAAGAAAGATTGCAATAAGGATCTTAATTTGGGAATTATAGCTACTATTTTGCCAAGAGACATAAGGAGAACAAGGTGAGTACAATCTCAGATGAAAATGATCAAGAACATAACACCATGAGAGTTCCTTGATTTTGTAAATGTCTAAGATTGAACGATTTAAAGTTATTCTGACCAAACCCTACCCTCACAAGATTTAAAATAAGCTTTTGAGGTTCATATATCTAATAAAGCCTTAACACTAATGCATTATTACTTGACGCACATAAATTAATTAAGAAGGTAACAATATCACAAACAACACGATTAGGTGGGGTAAACAAAGTTAACACCTACCTTGAAACTTTGAATGAGTCGTGCAGCTTCCACTTTCGTCTTGCCTTTTACAGATATACCATTGACACCAGTTATTTCGTCCCCAGCTTGAAGACTACCATCTTCTGAAGCTGGCGTGGAGTCGAATATTTGAACAACGTAAAGGCACGGACAGTATGGGGCTCCCCCTCCAATACTTATACCCACTAGATTCTGTGGGTCCTTTTTAAGTTTCACACAACCACTCGTTACGGTCATCCCACTAAAAAGTTGTGAGAAATAAAAAGGATCTAGGATAGAAGGCAAAAGCTTAATTCCAAAGGATAGAACTTTCTATAAGCAAAAAAGTAGTAAACGTTATGTAAGTTCACTACCAGTACGTTACACAAAAATATGTCTATTCAGTCCACAATGAACTTCACGAATTGTGACAAAACTATTTAAAAAATGGAAAAGTGATAAACTTTCTACTCCACGCCGGACTACTTCTAGTTTAATTCGTTTGAGTAACAATGCAAATGCAATGACTAAACAAGTTTACTATCTATAGAAACTAAAACCGGCAAACCTACGGTGATTTGGAGCAACCATTTTATGTCCACCCCGAAATTAACTACCCAAAAATTTGTTATAGCTTGGTCATGTGAATGTCAGTGGATATGGTGAACCATATCGTATCTTATAAGTATGATGATTCAGGACAAAATCTTACTCGTGCTACGGTCAGACTATAGTTTATGGACGACCTATGAGCAACGCTAGACTTACCTTGAGAGTGTCCACCTAATAACCAGTACCAAATAGGGTTATAAATCTGTGTGAGAAACTAGAATTATGATTTACAGTTGATGATTAAGGTTAAAAACTAGATTTATGGTTTTCATCACGAACTGGCATCATTTATAATGTCGAAACTCTAATTAGCCGAAGTGATTTTCGAGCCAAAACCCGAGATCTGTTATCTTATACATGATTGGTTCGTCCACGAATTATTCTCGCCCGTTGCCCATTTAATCTGTATCATACGTATGCCATGAAAACACCTAAAATGGTTCATTGAGTTATAATCAAAGGGAGACTGAATATGTGCAGAAAATCCAACAAATGTTACTTGTAAGGAAAAGTGCGAGGTATGTATCCTATAGGAGTTTAAGTAGATGTGATACCATCAAAATAATGTAAGAGCATGCGAAAATGTGGGCTGATAAGACAACGAATGATTAGCATATGAGTGGAACGCAAAACTAATCGAATTCAAAATATAATAAGTAAGAACCAAGACTTATATAGGGAGTAAACTGAGGTTACATTCTTATCATTTCTTATTCTTGTGTAAAAAAGCCAGAAAACCCCAAGAACCAGACTTCTCTGAAATTATGTGTGCTTGCGAATCTTGGGATAATGTATACATAGCACAGTGATTACAACTGAGGAATCTTAACACACAATGCATAATTTTCTGTCTCAGTCTTCAGTAATACGGATAGGAGGTCTATTGACCTATATTAATCCTTGTAGTTTGTAATACTGTGGAGGTCCAACCTCGTTTTGAATATATTAACAGACGGTGCTGATATTACGTGTTCCGGTAGAATTCCAGTAATTCACTACTCGGTGCGAGAAACCGAACTCCAGACGTAAACGGTTTGATCTCGGTTTTTGAACTTTCTTCGAATGTCCTCTCAAATGATCGGTTCTAGACGGAAGCAAAAAATAAGACATGTTAATACCAAGGTCATCGTTCAGTATACGATAGGCCAATATTAGATCACCCCGTATTCTACGGCAAGATAATGGAAAATAAGTTAAGGTGTCTCAGTCTGTCTCCATAAGATAGGCCAGATAGACCTTGTACCATCTTAGTAGCTCGTCGTTGGACTCTTTCTAGCATATCTGCTTCGTACTTGAAACAAGGACACGCTGCTTGAATCCCGTATTCTAAATGTGGTCGCACATAAATCGAGTATAGTAATCTAAACATTTCATCGTCTAAATACTGGAAAGACCTACGAATTGACCATAATACCCTATAGCCTTTTGCAGCAGCATTACAGTGACTAGTGGTTCTGAGATCATTGCTTAATATAACTCCTAAATCTTTATAGTTTCTTGTTTTGGGTAGCACGAATCCACGTAGTGTATAGTGATACGATTCGTCAGAGTTATTTAACTGCATCACTACACTCTTATTAGGATTTACTTCCAGTGACCACCTGTCTAACCATGCCACCAATGAGCTAAGATCGTCCTGTAATACCATTCTATCCAACATGCTATGTATGGGTCTCCAAATCTTTATATCATCAGCGAAGAGTAGGACAGATGATTTTGCTACAGTTGGCAATTCATTTACATAAAGTAAAAAGAGAAGAGGACCTAGGATTGTACCTTGGGGAACCCCACTTTTTACAGGTAACCACGAGGAGAGAGCCCTATTAACCCTTACCCTTTGTCTCCTGTCACGGAGAAAAATACTTATCCAATCGACGACTGTATAATGGATTCCAAAACGTTCCAGTTTGAATTTAAGACCAGAGTGGGAAACCTTATCAAAGGCCTTACTTAGATCTGTGAAAATCACATCCACAGGAACATTCCGATCTTTTGCAGCAGCCCAATCTTCTCTTGCAATGAGAAGATTTGTCAAGCAAGATAGGCCTTTCCGAAAACCATGTTGTGCCCTGGAGAAAAGCTTTTGCCCTTCAACATAGTTTATAACAGCTATCCGAATGATTTTCTCCATCAGTTTTATAACTGCACTAGTTAAGCTAACGGGTCTATAGTTGCTAAATCCCTACTCTCAGCCTTATACATCGGACTTATTATGGCGTCTTTCCAGTCTCTAGGAAGTCTGGACTGTCTCAGAGACATGTCGAATAGTATCGCTAATGGTTCAGCAATTTCATCTGATACGGCTTTCATAATCCTAGGATAAATATCATCAGGACCGCTGGACTTATCAGGTTTGAGATGCTGAAGTAGCCTTAAAACAGTACCATTCTCAATGACTACAGGATCCATCAGCGAGTCGTCACGGTCACGATGAATCGTTGGTCGTTCCTCATTACCAATAGAAAATACTTTACTAAAATATTCCGATAAAGCTTCATCCTTTTCGGCATCATTTTCTGCCAAAATTAACAGATTTTCTTGTATCAAAAGTGATGGAATCCTATCGTTCCTTTGAGTTCGCCTTTTTATATACGAGAATAACCGTTTCGGACCATATCTAGAATCCCTAACCAATTGTTTTTCGTATGATAGTCTAGTCTTACTTATTAACGCTTTACAGGCATTCCTAATCTTACAATAACTGGATCTGTATTGTTCTAAGCCAGTAGAGATGAACATATTCCAGTGATTCTTCCTTTTTCTAAGAAGTTTCCTGACCGTTTTAGTTATCCATGGTGGACTGTTAGTCGGTCTTCGCGGTACCAGGTATGGTATGAACGGGGACGTAACTAGTTTAAATTTACCTTTAAATACAGACCATGCTTCTTCAACTGATAAGCTAGTATCTACTAACCAATCTGTCTTAGCAACGCATTCCTGAATGGCTGATATGTTAACTTTCCATACATTTGGGCGAGGTGTAACCTGATCGTATAACATGTCCCTAGTTCTAAACGCGAATGACAAAACAGCGTGATCGCTGTCCACTAACGGTGGAAGAATATTTAGGTCGACAATATCCTCAGTTAACACCAAAACGTGTGGGTTTAGATACATGCTGCACTAATGCATGCTCCATTATTGTTATCATGAACCTACTATCAAAGGAGTTTATAGATCCTTCTGTGGTCATCTCAGTCCAGCTAATATCAGGTGCGTTAAAGTCTCCTATTATCAAGCATCTGTTACTTGCACTCCAAAGATGAGTGTGCTCTAAAATAAAGTCATCAGTTAAGCAGATTGGGCTGCGATAGATGACACCTAGCATAAATGTACTACATCCTATAGCCAACTTACAGCTAATGACTTCACAAGTACCGCTATCATGGGATTCGCTAGTAGAGGAGCGGATATTTATGCTATTGTCTATATATAAACTGCGCTATCTAAAAAGGACAGTGGTATTGTTTCTCGTTGAATTAGTTAACTGTTTTGATCGTAAATTACGTATCAAAACTACGATTTACACTTTAATTGAATCTACTACAGTTAAAGTGATATTCTATTGAGTTTTTTGGCTTTTGTGTATTTATTACATTCGAAAGCATTCTTGGTCTGTATCAAAGTACTTTAGTTAAGGTTTAAAATCTTGCTAAAGTTTGTCTTGTGGTAACCTTTTATTCGTTGACTGACATTTGTGTTCATACTGTGATCATATTGTGTGTTACACCTTGATCTGACTAAAATGGTTGGTAGTACTCACAAATGTGGACAACCAAAGTGTTTGTTCCCTGTGGAGGAGGGAATGCAATGTGACGAATGCAATAAGTGGTTCCACAAAATGTGCACCTGTTTAAGTCCCACTGCATACAAAAGATGTTCGAAGCCTAACTCACATTGGCTTTGCATGTTTTGCTGTGCCAACAAGGCATTACTATTACAGAAGGCTATGAGCCTATTGGCTTTGGCCTGTAAGAAGAACGATGGCATATGCGCTGACAACACGGGCACTGACAGTGACGAATGTGTCAGTGTAGTACCTGCTGTTACGCGACGCCTCAAACGACCGACTCTGATAGACGTAAAAGTGAAGTCTCCGTTGACATTAACAGGAGGAGTAGTACCACCTGGTACTGACATTGTTAATAATGCACCTTTAGTGAGAACCGAAGATCTGGATAAAACAGTCACCGTTCCAAATAGTCCCAGTGTTATGAGGGATTAAAAATGGACTACGGTACGTAGGAAACGAAACGAAAAGAAAAAAAGCTGTAGGCAGTACACAGGTAGTTAATAACTCACTGGTGGACTCAAATTGTGAGCCACAAATTGTACTACCAAAATCTGATGGTAAGAGTGAAACCCAACCTGGCGTGACTGAGATAGTTATGTCTTAGAAGCGAATGCTATCAAGGCCTGTTTGGATAGGCTGTTCTACTTAGGAGTTTTATATGCCAACGCTCGTAGTCTACGAAATACGTTTATTCTTACAATCAGATTTTGGTAGTACAATTTGTGTCCACCAGTGAGTTATTAACTACCTGTGTACTGCCTACAGCCTTTTTTCTTTTCGTTTCGTTTCCTACGTACCGTAGTCCATTTTTAATCCCTCATAACACTGGGACTATTTGGAACGGTGACTGTTTTATCCAGATCTTCGGTTCTCACTAAAGGTGCATTATTAACAATGTCAGTACCAGGTGGTACTACTCCTCCTGTTAATGTCAACGGAGACTTCACTTTTACGTCTATCAGAGTCGGTCGTTTGAGGCGTCGCGTAACAGCAGGTACTACACTGACACATTCGTCACTGTCAGTGCCCGTGTTGTCAGCGCATATGCCATCGTTCTTCTTACAGGCCAAAGCCAATAGGCTCATAGCCTTCTGTAATAGTAATGCCTTGTTGGCACAGCAAAACATGCAAAGCCAATGTGAGTTAGGCTTCGAACATCTTTTGTATGCAGTGGGACTTAAACAGGTGCACATTTTGTGGAACCACTTATTGCATTCGTCACATTGCATTCCCTCCTCCACAGGGAACAAACACTTTGGTTGTCCACATTTGTGAGTACTACCAACCATTTTAGTCAGATCAAGGTGTAACACACAATATGATCACAGTATGAACACAAATGTCAGTCAACGAATAAAAGGTTACCACAAGACAAACTTTAGCAAGATTTTAAACCTTAACTAAAGTACTTTGATACAGACCAAGAATGCTTTCGAATGTAATAAATACACAAAAGCCAAAAAACTCAATAGAATATCACTTTAACTGTAGTAGATTCAATTAAAGTGTAAATCGTAGTTTTGATACGTAATTTACGATCAAAACAGTTAACTAATTCAACGAGAAACAATACCACTGTCCTTTTTAGATAGCGCAGTTTATATATAGACAATAGCATAAATATCCGCTCCTCTACTAGCGAATCCCATGATAGCGGTACTTGTGAAGTCATTAGCTGTAAGTTGGCTATAGGATGTAGTACATTTATGCTAGGTGTCATCTATCGCAGCCCAATCTGCTTAACTGATGACTTTATTTTAGAGCACACTCATCTTTGGAGTGCAAGTAACAGATGCTTGATAATAGGAGACTTTAACGCACCTGATATTAGCTGGACTGAGATGACCACAGAAGGATCTATAAACTCCTTTGATAGTAGGTTCATGATAACAATAATGGAGCATGCATTAGTGCAGCATGTATCTAAACCCACACGTTTTGGTGTTAACTGAGGATATTGTCGACCTAAATATTCTTCCACCGTTAGTGGACAGCGATCACGCTGTTTTGTCATTCGCGTTTAGAACTAGGGACATGTTATACGATCAGGTTACACCTCGCCCAAATGTATGGAAAGTTAACATATCAGCCATTCAGGAATGCGTTGCTAAGACAGATTGGTTAGTAGATACTAGCTTATCAGTTGAAGAAGCATGGTCTGTATTTAAAGGTAAATTTAAACTAGTTACGTCCCCGTTCATACCATACCTGGTACCGCGAAGACCGACTAACAGTCCACCATGGATAACTAAAACGGTCAGGAAACTCCTTAGAAAAAGGAAGAATCACTGGAATATGTTCATCTCTACTGGCTTAGAACAATACAGATCCAGTTATTGTAAGATTAGGAATGCCTGTAAAGCGTTAATAAGTAAGACTAGACTATCATACGAAAAACAATTGGTTAGGGATTCTAGATATGGTCCGAAACGGTTATTCTCGTATATAAAAAGGCGAACTAAGAGGAGCGATAGGATTCCATCACTTTTGATACAAGAAAATCTGTTAATTTTGGCAGAAAATGATGCCGAAAAGGATGAAGCTTTATCGGAATATTTTAGTAAAGTATTTTCTATTGGTAATGAGGAACGACCAACGATTCATCGTGACCGTGACGACTCGCTGATGGATCCTGTAGTCATTGAGAAAGGTACTGTTTTAAGGCTACTTCAGCATCTCAAACCTGATAAGTCCAGCGGTCCTGATGATATTTATCCTAGGATTATGAAAGCCGTATCAGATGAAATTGCTGAACCATTAGCGATACTATTCGACATGTCTCTGAGACAGTCCAGACTTCCTAGAGACTGGAAAGACGCCATAATAAGTCCGATGTATAAGGCTGAGAGTAGGGATTTAGCAACTATAGACCCGTTAGCTTAACTAGTGCAGTTATAAAACTGATGGAGAAAATCATTCGGATAGCTGTTATAAACTATGTTGAAGGGCAAAAGCTTTTCTCCAGGGCACAACATGGTTTTCGGAAAGGCCTATCTTGCTTGACAAATCTTCTCATTGCAAGAGAAGATTGGGCTGCTGCAAAAGATCGGAATGTTCCTGTGGATGTGATTTTCACAGATCTAAGTAAGGCCTTTGATAAGGTTTCCCACTCTGGTCTTAAATTCAAACTGGAACGTTTTGGAATCCATTATACAGTCGTCGATTGGATAAGTATTTTTCTCCGTGACAGGAGACAAAGGGTAAGGGTTAATAGGGCTCTCTCCTCGTGGTTACCTGTAAAAAGTGGGGTTCCCCAAGGTACAATCCTAGGTCCTCTTCTCTTTTTACTTTATGTAAATGAATTGCCAACTGTAGCAAAATCATCTGTCCTACTCTTCGCTGATGATATAAAGATTTGGAGACCCATACATAGCATGTTGGATAGAATGGTATTACAGGACGATCTTAGCTCATTGGTGGCATGGTTAGACAGGTGGTCACTGGAAGTAAATCCTAATAAGAGTGTAGTGATGCAGTTAAATAACTCTGACGAATCGTATCACTATACACTACGTGGATTCGTGCTACCCAAAACAAGAAACTATAAAGATTTAGGAGTTATATTAAGCAATGATCTCAGAACCACTAGTCACTGTAATGCTGCTGCAAAAGGCTATAGGGTATTATGGTCAATTCGTAGGTCTTTCCAGTATTTAGACGATGAAATGTTTAGATTACTATACTCGATTTATGTGCGACCACATTTAGAATACGGGATTCAAGCAGCGTGTCCTTGTTTCAAGTACGAAGCAGATATGCTAGAAAGAGTCCAACGACGAGCTACTAAGATGGTACAAGGTCTATCTGGCCTATCTTATGGAGACAGACTGAGACACCTTAACTTATTTTCCATTATCTTGCCGTAGAATACGGGGTGATCTAATATTGGCCTATCGTATACTGAACGATGACCTTGGTATTAACATGTCTTATTTTTTGCTTCCGTCTAGAACCGATCATTTGAGAGGACATTCGAAGAAAGTTCAAAAACCGAGATCAAACCGTTTACGTCTGGAGTTCGGTTTCTCGCACCGAGTAGTGAATTACTGGAATTCTACCGGAACACGTAATATCAGCACCGTCTGTTAATATATTCAAAACGAGGTTGGACCTCCACAGTATTACAAACTACAAGGATTAATATAGGTCAATAGACCTCCTATCCGTATTACTGAAGACTGAAGGATGCCACTTTCTTTTCCACACTTATGCCTATCACTCCTGAGTTATGAAACAATGACCGTCTCATATTTGCATCCGCAAGGACAAAAATACCCATAAAATTTAGTCATTAAATCTCTCGTACGAAAGACTGATTACACAGACTAATCGTTGACTATGAATTTCGATAAAGAGCTACTTTAAACTAAATTAACTTTAGTGAATGAAAAGCACTTCACCCCTGCTCAATAGGCTGTAATATTTAAGGTCAAACCCTGACTCGTTGAAATTACTAATATTTTACTTCACTTTTACAGCACACTCACAGTTTGTTCTCTTCGTATCCATGATCATAGAAATCCATCGTATGTTGGCACTACTGTTAAATACGCGGTTAAAAACGTACGGTGTTCAGTTTCCACTCGGTGAAACCATATACTTTAATTACTATTGGTGGGAATAGTATACCAGTCATACTTAATGTCATTTATAGATTTAACGAATATTATCGTGCTTGATTTTCGGATACTCATTCATTCCCACATGGTAGGGATGTAGCATAAAGGCAAGTGTTAGTCACTATCGATACGTTGCAGGAATTGCCAACTTATGTTTCAATAATTACTTTTAGTTAGAAAAACTCGATCAGCGATCTAGGCTACATTCTGTTACGGAGCTTTTGAGACTAATTTTCAGCTTCTAAATGCCCATCTTAGTATTCCTATGACGACTTGCATGTGTAGGGCCAGTGAATTGTCCCTCAGTCCTGACCAAATCATCCGGCAGTTGGGTAACTGAATATCAAATAGATCATCAACCACTGTAAAAGTCATGGACAACCAACAATTAATCGTACGGCGTGAACTGGCCCATGTGGTAGTGATCACAATTTCACTTATTCCTACTCTAACTAATATAATTCTGTAATAAAGCCCTCTGTGTTATACGATCTCCAAAGCAGCAGTAGTACCTTGATGTGAAAGTGAGGTAAGCCTCGTTAGGTTCTGACTGCGATATGTGACTTCGAAGTTAGCTGCTAGTCACACTGCTCCCGTCTAACTCGAGTAGGCCCGCAATCTTTCGACATAGATCATCTACGTTACTGATATATGCATGTGTTTAGAACCAAGCATATCACTAATTCCAAACGTTAGACCATTTCTGTTTGTCTTCTGTATATGTATGAGGTAGCCATGTATCAGAATTATTTAGTTCCTGTGGTGGGTCGATCTGTACACTAAAAAAATATCTTCCAGTTCTTTCCAAACTTCACTATTTCATTTTTTTAGTTTTAGTTTTCGGATATTTTGTACATCGATTTTCCAGACTTGCTAGGGGTATTCAACCTATATTATTATTTCCACTATATGATGATTTATCCCCATACTAATCAGTAATTCCCCAAAGTTAATAACTTTTCAACCGGTTAGCAGTAGTACTGATCAATATTTATTCTGCTGAGAACACAACTAGCTGAATACGCAGGCCCAAACGTCAGATATAGGTCAGGCTTCAACTTGTCGTGAGACGCATTTCCGTCCGAGACCTCCTAGCTTAGAAATTGTAATCTACTAACCCCTATCTACAATTCAAATATTTCCCACTCAGTCATTCTTAACTTCTTTTCTAAGAACCTCGGTGAACATGTCAGTGTATGAGATTGGGACATCAGTGCAAAATTCCGTCATGTCAAACTCGTCTTCACTTTTCTGACCGTAAACAATATATTATTTTGTTTTGCTGAGACAGATGCTCACATTTACCATGTGACTGACTCACGTAATTTCTTGCTGTAATCACATTATGGTGCGGTCTTGGGAAGTACACTTTGTCATTTTTGTGTTGTTTTGATGTAGCCGAATATTATCAAATGATCGGAATGACTATTATAATATGATATAATGTAAATCTAACCAGCGGATAGTGGTTAAGTAAACTGTTCCGTAATATTGAGATAGTAAATTGTTCGATCACCGGACTTTTATCAAAAGTGCTCATAATTGCACTTCGTTTATTATTTCCTCCAAATATTTTTGCTATTTTTTATCGTTGTTTAGCATAAATTAAACCACATAATACTATTTAGACATTAGTTTCATTGAAATGTGTGTTTCCATCAATGAAACGACTTATGTAGTTTTGTCTATTCCTACTGCTTGGACACTAGCCTCTGAACGTTACTCCTGCCACGTTACCAATTATTTACTTTCTATATTCAAAAAGCTCAGAATGTGTAATTGGAGTCTATGATTTTAGTGTCACCAAAAGCTACTGAATGCTATGACCTATAAACACGTCAAGTTTATGAAAAAATTCTGACTGCAGTTATCGTGCCACAATAAATTCTTAGAAGCCTACATACTCGACAAATCCAGTCTGTTCCGTAACTCGAATGCATAGCTCGAGTTTCTGTGATATCTAGATCAGACGCTTGCTCTGTATGAAAGATTATTTAACCATGTTTTACACAACTAATCTTCTAAGGTTCACTGGAAAGTGAGGTATTTTTCATTTCCCTTGCTGACCGCAAATAATGCCGACGTCGCATGGGAAACATTGATATTTGATTGACTTCATATATATATTTATATCACCTGGATTTCAGTAGGTCAAGTCACTGATCCCCATATCATTAGCAATGAACTCTGTAGTTCCATAAAGCTTACTGGGATTAAAACACCTCTTCTAAAGTGTGGAATGTTTGCGTCGAAATAACAACCCATTTATGTGCTGGCAAAATTGATTTGAACAGTCTCTTCAAGTGCCACCATCTCTGCTAACACTGGAAACCACATAAAGCTCTTATGACAAATTATTACTTCCAGTGCGCAACGTACGTAAGATCGCCGCGAACGTTGTCAAGAGAGACTGCTACCCCTGGTTTAATTTTCAGACACTTATCTAATCATTAAAACACTACATTTCCACAGCCTTCAACGAAATAATAGTCACAATAAGTTGCGTCAAGAGTCTCCGAAATATCCATCATCGATTCCTCTGAAGGACCAAAACCCGGCAGGAAATGTTTCATTCGATCGATTTGGGATTCAAACTCTTAAACGACATTTAGGAAATGAATAGTCGTGTCTTTGATTATAATGAACTATGCTGTTATTATGTTTAATTTTTCCAGAAAATTTCAGAAGCCGAAGTGTTATGTCCTAGTCAAGATTACATTACGAGTAACTTCCGAGACCTAATAATAGACTAATATTATTTACATATTCTTATGGTATAAATATTCAGTAACCAGGTTATGTATATCTATATTCCCCTTGTTATAAGCTTTATTGCGACCTATATATTATTATTGTACGATTTACTGTTCTTAAGCTATGTTCAGTTTATTGACTACTGCCTCTCACATTCACAGCCACTTTTTGGCTTTATTGTATATGAATGTTATTTCCTATTTTATGCTGCATTGCGGTTTGTTTGTTTGGTATATAAACCCAGTATGTTTGAAATAAATGATTCGCATAGTGGAGGCTGTTATTGGCATTCTGGACTCAGCTGGACGGGTTAGGAGAGCAACGGGCCTATAGAACGCTAGGTTGATCAGACCGTTCGGACGTCATTGACTTAATACATTATAAGAGCGAATAAGTCGTATTTTGATTGGCGAATATTTTACGTGATAACAAGCGGTTCAGAAAGTCACAACAAGAATATCACGTACGAATACAAATTTGACTTGCATTTTTTGCATGTTGACTAAACCTTGTGTGAAATTCTTACCCACATTTTGAGCTAACTCTCTGTTACTTCAGCTGACGTGCTGATGCACGAAGAGGCTAGAACGGAAGTAATAAGCGTTTTATCATCAGACTTATCAATTTTTGCTCTGAATGTTATTACAGAATGCATACCAGGAGCGACTGGGTAAGCTAGAAATCCCTTATATTGTTTAATTGAATTATATCGTTATTTCCTTGTTCTTTTTCCCTGTACTCTATTTTAACCTTTGCTCAGGCCTCTTTCAACCATGTTTTATATTCTTCAGTCTTCTTTGTCTGAACTTTTATTAGTTGAATTTGGCCAAAGATCTACCTTTATTACCTAACTTCATTGCTGTAGGTTGCAAAGCCACTGATACTGGTGTCGTATTTCACTAAGCTCAAGCTTAAGATGTGTTTTAGTTGATAATTATTGACATTTGATTGTCAGTTTGGGACAGTTACTCAAATATTTTCAGATATATATTTCACCTTGTAAGTAATACTACTACTGATTTCCAGGTGCCAAACAATTACCTACTAATCACTTCTCTTGCTGTTGAGCACGTTGTTTTGTGGTAGAGGAAATTTTGACTGCATGGCACAGCCTGTACCGTTTGAGGTATTTTGTACTCTGTATATAGCTCGTTTTCTTGCTTAAATTAGAACCAACAAAGTTGAACACGAAGTTTTTGTTTCGACATAATTTGGTACGAGTTACTCAAAAATAGTCCGTACGCTATACAAAAGAACGTAGTTTTACCTTATCGAATAGACTTTCGTTTGTTAATCCTACGTTCAAATCAAATACTAAAATTTTTGTCGTTACACTCATTTTATTCGCGTTAGTTTTAAGTAACGGCCTCTAAGTTGAAGTTGATGAATTTCAAACAATGAGTGCTTTCGTGGATGCAGGAGTGGATCAGTGCAGCGTTGTCATCTAGCGTTTTTCTACTGTCAGAAGTAAAAATGTATTCAACAAACATGTAGCTATCTTTAGTTTTCAAGCACCCCATTAGATACCCGTTGGTATGAAAAGTGGCATTTATTCTTTATAAGTAACACTTAGGTCATTCTGAACACTAAAATCAGTTTTTTTATTGACATCGCCTTCATTAGCCGCTACACACAATTGGATGGTAGTCCAGTTTTAGATACCAATTCACCTACGGTTTCTCGAAGAAATACAGACATAATGATACTAAATTAGCTCTACTGATGAATTAAACACAGGGTGCTGACTCATATTTGGATATCGGATGGCCTTCTTGTTTTAATCTAAACTTGAGAATCTTGCAGATCATCAAAGTAGATGATCTATGTCGATGAATGGGGAGGCTTATCCGGATGGACGAGATCGATGAGGCCTCCTAGCTTTCTCCCAAGCCAAACATCACAGCTAAAGTCTGATGTGAATTACTCCCTCTTCGAATAGAACGAGCGTAGTGATATCACAGGAATATGCTTGTAAGAGTAGGTGTGAGAAACAAGGTGTGATTACTGTCACACAGGCCGATTCATGGTATGGGACTGGTTGACTTAGGTGGTTTTGCGTCGACCCTGACAAGCATCAGCAAGCTGTTCGACACTCAGGGACCTAACTTTTGGATAATTTGGCCAGGGCTCTGGTAACAATTCACTTCTACAGGCCAACAAGATTTGAAATGTGTTCAACTCGTAAATTAAAGATAGT